CTCTTTGAAGGTGATTCGGAATTTCCGAAACATGACTGTATATCGAACGGGACCAGATCAGACAGCGCAGACAGACAGAAACAGACAGACAGACAGACAGACAGACAGACAGACAGACAGACAGACAGACAGACAGACAGACAGACAGACAGACAGACAGACAGACAGACAGACGTTGCCGTTTACATATAGTAGGACGGCTCCTGCATCTCACCGATCGCAGTGGACGGACTGATAGTGCAAAGACCGTCAGCCCTAGTGATTTATAAATCAGATCCTCTTGGAGACGATTTCTTACCTTCTTCAGATTGTTAACTTCTTGCATTCCCGTGTGCCCGATAATGGTCTCTAGTAGGAGAACATGTTGGAAGCTTCACGCCTTTCACTACATACTCGACAGCTGCGCTCTCTCCAAACATTTGTTTAGTTCAGGGGTATGTCCCACAAAGTTGCCCACTCACGTGACATTTTTTTTTGAGTGACGTTTTGAGCGCATCTTGCAAAGCGACATTGTTCCCATTTTCATATGCACACAGTACTTTGATGTCATCTGCATAACCTTGTACATGAATGTCAGAATGTGTCTTAAGAACCCGGGGCAGCTCAATAGTGTAAATCAGGAACAGCAAGGGAGGATAAAACCACCTCCTTGCGGGACCCCACTAGTGCAGGAAAATTGTTCAAGAAACTATTCCTGACTCCTAACCGGTCAAGTATCTTGCCACAGATACCATAACACTCCAGTTTGCTTAGTAGTTCTTGATGAGAAGGTCTATCAAAGGCCTTAGCCAGGTCGAGAATGAATATATCTACTGCCTTCTCCTAGTTAAGAGTTGGCAAACGTTATAAAAAGGTCACTAAGAATTCTACCAGGTCTGAAGCTGCAGATAGGAAACCATGCTGGTCCGCGGGAATAAGGTTTAGGCGGCTAAACAAAGCCAATAACTTATCGAAAACCATCTTTTCTATGACTTTCACCAGTGTCGAAACAAGGCTAATGTTTCTGTAATCGCGCTAACAGCCTTGGCACTTGAATGCTTGGGGATTGCCGTGTTAAGGGATGGCTTTCTCAAGAGTCTGGGGACTCACCGTAAGCAGGAAGGAAATATTGAACCTACAACACGACACCGATTCGGTATTTAGACTGCCATATTTTCTCTTGGAATTCGTCTGTATGTATACGAAGATTTTCTTCAGGCCGTTGTTGAATTTTTTTTGCAGTGTGGTAGCAGAACTGGACAGTCCTGGTAATGGGACAAGCGATATGGTACAACCCTTTGGCCTGCACAAACAGGTATAATTACTATCGTCGCAGCATGTCGCAGCCATATCAGCAGCCGCTGACTGAGCGAACTACAGTCCGAGTACCTAATTTTCATAAAGCACAAATCATCGAACCTTCTCACTCCAGCAATTAGTAAGAAATATCTTCTATCTTTTCTCAGAAACACAACATGGCAGTACGACAGAATTTGATAGCAATCCGTTAAGAAATCAACGAGAGGCTGCGGAACTGTTCACAGGCTGTGGAGAGCTAACGAAAAGCTGGTTCAACTAGGAATAAACATCGCCGTTGGAATAAAAAGTCTCGAATCCTTACCTCATAAAAAGATTTGACTTTCGTGCTCTGTCTTGCTGTTCGCTTGTTGGAGTTAAGGACAGTAGCGTTTGAGTAGTCGTTATCACTGGTTTCAGTCGGGCGTGTCAGCGGTAGGTAGGCCGCTATACATTTTACATCGATCCGCGCGTTGCACTTCGAACGCACCGAACGAATGGTGGAAAGGAGGTTGGCTCACTTTAGCAAAGCCCGTCGGTCCGTGGCGCCTCCTGTGGACTTCCAGCGACTAACGACTGTAACTGGAAGAACCGCTGAGCGATTGCAGTCAATGAAGGAACACATTATGTCTCGACCTGTCTTGACTAAGACTGTTTTAACTGATTGTTTAAATGTATTAGAAAATTCGTTATAGGCGGTTATATATAAATCTTGACAGCAGTTATAGATTCCAAAATGCTAAGCGTTTCCTTGAAATAAACTTCAGGTTTGTCCGAGTGTCATCATTAGGGAAATGAATATTTAAATGCTCAACGAGACTTATCACATGAATGGGGCGAGCTAATGCGATTAATTTGCACAACGAAGAATAGCTTGCCTTACGAGCCATACAACTCAGGCCATAAAAGTTGCGAAACAGTCTTCACTCGGTAGTGTTTAAATATATGGCGGTATCTCTAGGAACATCAGGTGAACATGACTGGGGGGGGGGACGATGTATGAATTTTCACCTGTTCAGAAATTTGTGCGTAGATTTCAGTAGGTTGTATTTATACGATTACAATAGGAAGGCTTACATGGTACATGACATGAAAGCTGAGAATTCGAACAACACGATAATATGTTATGTAACTCATCCGATTTTGATCATGCTGTCACATCCAATTTGACTGAGTCTCTCGGTCGGTCCACTGACGTACAAGGCTCATGTCGAAGTTTCCGAAGAGAATGCTACTTAGTGAAACTGGTTTAGCATCAGCTGAAGAAGCAACCGAGTGGCAGCCGCGTGAAGTGGCAGCCATCAAGCCAGGCAGTGCTTGTAATTGCGGAATATGGCCGAGAATCTTTTTTGCTGTCTCGTACAGAAGTTTTCATGTGCTTTTCAACAAGAAACTGCTATTGTTGCACTATCCGAAGAAGACTTCAAAACAAATACCCATAACGTACATATACATAACAAGGACAGGAAGAAGAGAAATGCCATTATTCCTCACTTCATGCTAAGCATATGTTCATTACGTTTTACTTTCATTTTTGATCCTTTCCTTTTCAGCGATATCCCATAAGAAAAACAATTTTAAATGTCAGTAATCTTACTGGGAACGCAGATCACTAATACTTTCTCTATAATCATCCACCGAGCCGCGAGTGAATATCCTTTTCGTTGTTGCCAAAATTAATGAAATTAACCGCGGCATTTGCATCGTTGGCAGATCTTCACGAATACTATAACCATCCTGTTGACAACCCCCACGTGGAATTTCTTCACGCTGCATGCATATGACGTTTGACAGGACTGCTTACTTGCAGTTCAAAGTTTCAGGCAGTTTCTCATATCACGGGAAACGATAACGTTCCCGCTTCTGGTCGCACAGTCTAGTGTTTTAATTCTCCAAGGCGAGTCCACTGGTAGATTTCTGGGTTCGGAAGGAAAGAGGGCTTTGTTAGCCTAGTGAGTTGGAAGCCGTATTTACGCGCTTGTAAAACGCACAACTTGCCAGTATACAACCACCACCCCAATAATTCTAGTGATTATCAGAAGTAGTTCAGTGCTGTTCCATCACAACAACAACGATAACAACAACAGACAGAGCTGGTTTGGACCCTTTTCGAAAGTGAGGCTACTGTCAAGTTTGTAAGGAGTCATCATGATTACTGATCCTTCAGGAAGATTTCAGATGGCTTCTCCGGGCAACGATTTTTCTTTAGGACTGCAGCAATGCTTCGATTGTTGAGTGGTAGCTGAAAGGTTTTTCATAACAGAATTTTTTTGACTTTGCTATTACGGCCACAATAAATAGTTTTTTTTGTGGAAAAATCAATACATGGTTCTAAACGTCAACATATGTCATTTCCCATGGAACGCTTTAGTTGCAGTCGCCGACAACTACACAAACTACAACACCGTCGAGCTGACGACGTCGCGCTAAACTTAATAATGTGCAAGAAGGAGGACAGCTTGCGAACGGACCTAAACTACTCATTTCCTACAAAAAAAAGCAAAACTTCAGTCGGAGAGAAGGGATTTCAACTTATTGATCACGGGTATCAGAGTATTTGTTCTTGTACACAAGCCGGCGGAAAGGACCTGGCGGGCAGAGAAACAATACTATATAGTCACACGAAACGATATGCCGCCGGCAGATATGGCAGGATCGGTTAACTTTGACTCACTAGAGGCAAGTAGGACTGTCAGTGTTGTTGCTAATGCTGCTGCTTACCCCCACTTGACTCCAATTTCGCCAATTGTTTGCTGGCGTGAGCCGAGAACAAGGTGTGAGATGATCAGCGGTCCATACATCGCGCTATCGGCGCTAAACGAGCAGATCCGGAGAACTTGTGCAGAAAGGCTGCCAGGCCCTTACGTTTGGTATTGTCCCAATTTTTTTCTCGGTTTTTTCTTCCATGGAGAGTCATTTAGCGTCTATAGCTTTGTACTTGAACCCCTCTATCCGCACTATACACTGGTGGGTTTGTATTTGAATTGGACCACCAGGTACAAGTGGCAGCATCCATTATCAGCACACGAATGCTGGGGCACTGATAGTTTTTAGACATGGTTGTAGCGCTTACGTGTTAAATCATATAAGCGGTCTGCTACGAAACGTCGTGCCTACGGCGCTGTTTATTTGCCATGCACTCCTTTGAGCACTTCCTCCAGCTCCATACAATATAACACTCCTCACCCTAGTCTTACAGTCCCATCCGGCTAGCTGATTAGGCGGCCAAAAGGTTACGACGCGGCTGCGGATCGTCACGACCGCGGCGATCAACCGTTTCCCTCCCGGTTTGGCCATTTTTCTCCCTAATTTTAACTTATGTTAGTTTCTATTTTTTTTGAGGTATGTTGTGCTATCTGTGAAATGTATTGGGAAGTGATCTTTTTTTTTTTGCTTTTGTGAATGAAGTGTTTTTGAGATTCTTTAGGTATTTGTCTAATTGCCCGTTTAATTGCTTAATTGTTCACAAAAATTAGAGTAATCTCAATCATGATTTCCCTTGTGAAGGCGAGGAGCAACTAGCCTCAAGAATAGCAGCCAAAAACAGTGAAAGTTAGGAGGAAAATTGCTCAACCAGGCTGGAAACAGCTGATCGCCGCGTCGCACCACACGCTTGAGTCGCTACTCTTTCACCGCCTAGTCAAGCACCCATATGACGACCGTAAGTAGCAGCCATAGTGAGGAGACGTTCGCGATCGTCGGGGCTTCGGACAGCAATCTCTACTATGGTTCTCGACATGACTCCCATTCAACATAACCTGCGCGATGATTTGATTAAGAAGTGTGACCAAGTGTGTATTTCTCGAGATTTTTATCTCAGAGATGTTAGACTTTTTGATGAACGATGGCTGATGCATTTAAGCAACTGATGCGCTCATTGGGTTGGGCAATATTCATACAATGTTGTTTAATAATATGGATTTTCTCATGGCTCACTAGTGACACTGGTGACAAGGCTGCCGATACAAAATACGTCGGTTTGCATTTGGTCTCTGGTCGCTTGGGTAATCAGGTAGGTTCACAAGCTTTTTTAAGTACACATGAGGAGTGTTGAATCATGAAATATCTCCCGTGCTTATAAAACTACCATGCATCTCGAGGAAACTGTTCCTCATCCAAAATTCCTAGAACTTCTAAGCCACTAATGCACGAATTGCCTCTCTTGGGACACCACTTGATTTCGAGGTCTTCTCCTGTAATTATCGCCGAAGACTAAAATATACTTCTACCAAACTGCACCATTATTTGTCCCCCCAAATAGGACGCTCTGTCCGATTCCCGTCATTTGCTTGGGGCAGGCATCTCTCTTCTAGTTCTGTGGTGAGATTGTGGACTTGTATTCCTCCTAGGATAGCGTTACTTTAGGTGCACTTTATCTTACTCTTGACTACTGACTGCTTTACTTTATATAAAGGCGTACTTCATCTCACTACTCGATGAAAGGCAGAATCCGCCATGAGCTAGAGGGAAGCCCGTTGGTATCAGGGTTAGAACTAAAAGTGCACGTCCTAGTGAACTCGTTCGTGAATGAAAAAAAAAAAAAGAAAAAAGAAATCCTGAAAACCCTTGAAATCAGGCTTTCCCCATGCTGGAGGGAGACAAACAATCGATGTGGTTCTCGTGCGAGAGGCCAGAAAAGAAGGGCGAGAGAGCACGCAAACAAGTGAGACAACCGATAGGATATAGAACACTTTCACTCTGAATCGCCCACTTTTCAAACCAGATTCACCACTTTTCGAGCCAAAACCAACTCCGCTTTCCAAATCAATTTCACCACATTTTTTGAGCGGGCAATTAATCAACCAGGTCACGCTGGACCGCAATGCGAGCCCCACCCCCATGGCCACGCGTGCTTGTCAATGCGGTCATAAATTTTCAAGCCTTATTCTACAGCTTCTACTTTCATGACTCTGTTTGCCTTTTTCTGTTTCACACACACAACTGACTGGGAAGGTCTGGAGCTCGACACAAGGCCGATTCCGAATTTCGAATTTTCACAGCTTCTTTAAGCTTGGGTAACTTCACATTCACTCTTCACAGAGCGGAAGTACTAAGTATTCACTTAGTAGACGCCCATTTATGCACCTACACATCAAACTCCGCCTCTTTGGCCACGCCTACATTGCAGCTTTTTACGAAATATTGATCTTCCTTCGAAATTTTCACATTTTTGGAACGGCATGGTGGATTTGGTCATTTTAACTTGAAAAGTTATGAATTTGGTTTCAAAAGTGGTGAGTTTAGAATGGAAGTATCACATATCAACATGAGCGGGGACACAGACTTCTTGGTAGAGCCACTTGTAAAACAATGTTACATAGCGCCGCTACCATACACCTTTCTGACGCAAAGCTTGTAAAGGGTTGTTCATTGGTGAGATCAATGTTTGTACCAATCAAAACTAACATGTAAATGGAAGAAGGAGCGTGATGTTCTAGCGTGTTCTCATTTTTCCGGAGAAATTTTCGATTTCCAGTTATTCCATCTAATATCTGGCTATGCTATTGCTAAAAGCATTGGACGAGTTCACTATTTGCCATACGAGAAGGAGCATATGGAAGTCGTCTTGAAGTACTTGGAACTGTTCAAGCGAGTGTTTCCTGCACTGGAAAGAACATACATCTTAGGGCAGGTAAGGATTCGCCTAGTTTCAACAGCCAATTAACTCTTTCTTATAATCAGTTCTACGAGGCTAAGCCCACCTTCATTTCATTTTTGAAAAGTCGGGGAAATGGATCTGCAAGTCTTGGGACTTTTATCCTCAAAAGACTATCGCCAACCGTAGGCTTCCTCTTCTACGAAGGATTCCCAAAAGGCGGACGGGCGATGAGGACTGAACCTTATGCATACCCTCGCTTTGAGAGAGCTTCTTGTTTGAAATCAAACTTCATACTTTGAGCTTGGGACAGCCAAAGACATATGTAGTCTGCGTTGATATCAGAGCAGAGATGGGCGGGAGGCGGCAGCCTGAGGCGGTTGTGCCTTCGTCTTAGGTACTTTGGTGTTGCATAAATCATTCAAGCCGTCAGCAAGGCTGCCTTCAGGGCCATCCTCCAGAATGCTAGGGTGGGCTCCTGGCGAATAGGCGCTTTCGAACGTTTCACTAGGAACGCAACGCAGCTGACATTAGCTGAGGCTCACCATCGAGTGCGTCATGTACATGACAGCACATCTTCTTCCCCATCTTTATAAAAAATCATTTACAGATTGGGATAAATGCAACTGTTGTGCCATTCGCTAACCATTCTTGTTGTACTTATGATAATCCTAAACGGTGAGTGTATCTCTGAACTAATGGCATATCCTCGCGGTAATGGATGAAAAGTCACAACCAAAGCCACCTCATTCGCACACCTCAGCTCTTCACCGTGATAGAGCCGAAAGCACCCTAGTGAGGAAACACAACACCTGTCATTCTCCGCCCATTTCCCTTATCGCGGAATGTGCCTTTGACTGGGGATAAAGTTATCTTTCTAGAGTGTTCCAGTGCACGGTCAACTTTTATCTTGTTCATGGTAGGAATTGAAAATATATAAAAAGTTAGAGCGCTTTCAACCTACCAAACAACGATACTTATATTCATATTTCCCAGTACAGACAAGAGAATTGTATAGCTCAGGCGGAATTTGAAACTAGGGTGTCTTGAAAATTTCTGACTTTTTCGATCTTTTTTATTTCGAGTGAAGTTCATTTCTGAGAAGCAATTTCCATCAACATTATGCATATAATACCTTCATCAGCAAATTGCAGCCAGCCACCAATGGAAGAATGGTTGCCCTCTTCCACACAACCTTTTTGGTTCCCTTCGGAGAAAGGCAGCTGGATATTTTGAAGTGCTTTTGAAAATCGTATCTTCTACTCAGAAGA